ACTTCCGTATTGTTCGGACTCTAATTTCTGACATAAAATATTTCTCATACTTTGCTTCAAAGTTCTATAAGTTACAGAACGTTGGTGTATAAGTTGCAGTTTTTAATACTTTAATTTGTCTGAAAGGTTTCATTTAGTCCCTGAATGATTTTGTACTTCTGGTATTGAAACACTTTATTGTTCAGGAGAAATATTTAACTAAAAACAAAACACTCACTCGGATACGAACCTTCACTGGAAACACGTCTGAAAACTGCATCTGTTAGATTCTTTCCCCTTTTTTAAATTTGAGCGTTAAACAAAATGTGGTAAAATTCAAACCAGCATCTTTTTTGTCAGCGGCCGGTCGCCCACTACCTTTCATGCCAGAGATTTTAATTAAGATCCTCTCCCGTTGAGGAATAACAGAGTTTGTGTTCTTTTAATCTTGTAAATAGTTGATTTTCTCCCTTTTTTAACCTTCAATTTTTAATCTCTTACTAGAGATGCACTGATCCGATACCCATATCGGTATCGGTACTGATATTTTTTTTTAAAAAGCTTCTGGATCGGGTATTGGTGACAATGTGACCGATCCATGACTGGGCAGATCTATTCACTCTAACTCTATGCTTTGTGCTCTGAGTGACGTCACTCGCTAGCGAACGCATCGCACATTGTTTTCAAAACGGAGCGAGCGAAAGGATCAGCCATCTGGAACTATTTCACACTACCTCAGCCAACACATTCGACAGCTACGTGCAATACGTGCACAGCGACGTTTCAAGGGGGTGTCACTAAAACTTCCAGATATAACACTATCAACTTAATCAAGCATCTCCAGAGATCTCACCCTAAAGAGCGCGCTGAGTTTGTTGACCAGAATTCAACTCTGTTTTTCTGTATCGGATCGGTATTTGTCGATACTAAACCTCATGTATCGTATCGGAAGTGGGGAAAAGTGGATAGGTGCATCCCTATCTCTTACATGTCTTTTTTATCTCTTACATGTCTTTTTTATCTCTTACATGTCTTTTTTA